CTACTGGAGTGTCAGTTCTAACTTGACTGCAGTGAGTTGAGTTGGGCAGCTTATAGAGACAGCGACCTAGTTACCTGAACTAGCATGTCTCTTGGAGGCTTTGTCTCAGGATGAGGCAGCAGTGCAGTCACTGGAATTGACCTCTTGAAAGTCTCTGCCAGACATGATACTGCTTTCCTTGAGTTCTTTATGACAGTCCATATGCCTGGATCAGGCTGCAGTTGTAGATGAGAAATCAATTATATTTTAAGAAAGTGAAAAGAGCTGGAAGAATAAAAGTTGAGAAATCAACACATAGCAAAGACCATTGGACTTCTTAGGTATGTGACCTTGGATAAGTTACTTGGCCTCTGAATGTTCCCTTATAATCTTTGCCTGTTTACAGTTGTTTTATAGAGTAGGGATCATTTATTTTTAAAGTTTCCAACAGTTAATGCCAGCTAAGCCTCGAGGCCTAGTATATGTTAAGGTAATGAGCTTCCTGACCTAGAAATACTTCCTGACTTTAATTCCTACTTCTTAAGATGTTCTAGAAAGAAAGAGTTCTTACTCCTTCTATATTACATTACTTCCAAAAACCCTGTTGAACTGAAAGAGTCTCTGTTTAGGTGGACCTAAGAAAAGGAGGAGTTGTGCTGAGAACCCATAGGTTCTCTGTCCGTTTGAATCAACCAGCATCTCTGTGAGAGAAAGATGGGTAGTCTTCTGTGCAATTTACAGACTCTGGAAACCCAGTAGAGGGTCAGCTATGAGTTGGTGCCAGCTTGATAACATTGAATTTGAGATATTTTTAAAGAAAATGGAGAGGAACCTAGTCATTGGGTTAGGGTTAGGGTTAGGGATAGGTCAATTTCTGGGGTCTCAATTCTGTTCCATTGAGCTGTGTACCTATCATTGTACCAGTACCATGCTGTTTTGGTTATTAGAGTTGTATAGTAGGTTTTGAGGTCAGGGAGTGCTATGCCTCCCACTTAATTTTTGTTTTTCAGAATTACTTTGCTTATTTGGGGTCCATTTCTTTTCCAAATAAACTTGGCAAATTGCCTTTTCTATTTTTTTGAAAAATGAATTCTATATAGGTATGGAGGTTATGTTAAACATATAGATTGCTTTTGGTAAGATTATTATTTTCACTATATTGAATCTTCCTATCCATGAACAGGGAATGTTTTTCCATTTATTTATGTCTTTTATTGTTTCTCACAGAAGTGTTTTGTAGTTTATTTTTTTTTATTGGGAAAAAACATATTGGGGGTACAAGGAGGGCAGAGGTACATGAGGATGGGCAGGGATGCAGTTGCAGAGCTGCAGAAATTGGTTGGTGGGGGGAAGCAGGTGAAGGAAATGAAAATGATCCAGTGGGGACCAGATGCTACAGGAAAATGACAAGCATTTTCCAATGGTAATTAAATCAACTGTCTTATTGATTTGGGAACTGGATGCCGACTCTCTGGCTTCTTCATGCTGAATAGGGGCATTGATGTGAAGGGGGAAAGGGAGGGCACTTTATCACCTTACTGGTGATCTTGGGTTAAGGCTACTTGCCTTCTTGTTCTGTTAGAAGATATTTTCCTGTCATTTGCTCCCCTCTGGACCGTGAAGTGTTTTCCCAGGTGGGTCCAGTGGGGATGGCTGGTTGAACCCAGAGGCTCCATCCTCCTTTGCTTCTTTAGCTGGCAGTTGTATTTCCTTTTTGTCACTGGCACTGGGTTCAGGGTCAGGTCTGAAGTAAAACTCAGTGGTAAGGTTACCTATAGGAAAGGGAGCAAACCTAGAGAGAACAAACTTGTGAGTTACAAATAGAGGGGTTTTGGGGGTGTTGCTTTCAGGTTTACTGGAGGAAAGGGTGGCGGAAAGTAGCCTAGATAAAATTTTCTGGATACCCTAGGCATTTTTTTTCCTACCCAGGGGTCAGATGGCACAATCTGGGGACTGAGGAGCTCACCCTGAGAGCCATGACGGCTAGCCACGAGCCGAGGGCCGAAGACAGCCTGTCCCGAGCAGGGCAACACCCCCAATGGGCTGGCTGGTACACTCCCCCTCTAATTACGCCCACCCCAATCTGGTCCCCTCACCTGACCGAGGACTGTGTGGCCAGGGACAGCGTCTCCAATTCCAGCACCACCACTTCCCTCCCCCCTATAAGTGGTCATACTATAATTTGAAGTAGGTGTCACTGCCCTCCCCCTTTATAAATGGCAAAAGGAACCTGAGAATTGTGAACAGGCTCCCCCCAGGTCTAAACAGCTTTTGGCAGAAGCCTTCAGCAGATCAAAATATGTGGTGCATTTAGGATGTTGGTCCTCTTGGACATGCTGCCACTGTTATGTGTCATCAAGTAGACAGCTCACAGTGACTTTCAACAATCCATTGTATAGGTGATCATCTCTGGTTTTCCTAGGAAACCCAAACTTGTAGGCGGCGGAAAGCTCATCCCCCCCACGGGTGGTGGGGCATGCGCCCTTTCTTCTGTGCGGGCGGCCGGCGGGCACGCACCATCCCCCAGTGCGGGCAACTGGCGGGCGCTCGCCATCTCCTGTGCATCATCTCCCACACAGGTGGCTGGCGGGCACGTGTCATCTCGTGTGCGGGCAGCCGGTGGGCGCCATCCCCCAGCATGGATGGCTGGTGGACACCCATCATCTCGCGTGCGGGCAGCTGGTGGGGGTGGGTGCGCGCCATCCCCCAGTGGGGGCGGCCGCACGTCATCTCGTACACAGGCGACTGGCGGGCGCTCGCCATCTCCCACACATCATCTCCCACGCAGGTGGCCGGCGGGCGCGTATCATCTCGTGCGCGGGTGGCTGGCGGGTGCCATCCCCCAGCGCGGGCGGCCGGTGGGTGCCCATCATTCCACACGCGGGCAACCAGCGGGCGCGTGTCATCCCTCAGTGGGCATGCGTCATCTCATGCACAGGCAGCTGGTGGTTGCCCACCATCCCCCAGCGCGGGAGGCCAGCAGGCGCGCACCATCTCCCACAAGTGCGACTAGCGGGTGCGCGCCATCCCCCAGTCTGGGCGGGCGGCAGGCTTGTGCCATCTTGCACATGGGCAGCTGGCAGGCGTGCGCCAACTTCATGTGCGGGTGGCCGCCGGGCGTGTGCCATCTTCCGCATGGGTGGCTGGCGGGCATGAGCTGTCTCTCGAGTGTCATCTCCCACACGGGCAGCTGGCAGGCGCGCATCATCTTGTGCACCGGCAGCAGGCGGGCGCGCACCATCCCCCAGTGTGGGCAGCCGGCAGGCGCGTGCCATTTTCCATGTGGGTGGCTGGCGGGCACAAGCCATCTCCTGCACGTCATCTCCCACATCGGCGGCTGGCAGTTGCACTTCATCTCGCGTGCGGGAGGCCAGTGGCCGCCCGCTTCCCCTACTGCCACCATCTTGGCTCCAAGAATTCTCCCCAGAACCAGTCCACTTTGCCGCATTGTGCTGGCTCCGCTGCACCAGTCCTGGGGAGGCCCGGTGCCCACTCTCCATCGTGGGCGAGGGATTCCATAGGTTCCCGCTGTGGGAGCTTCATGGAGCTGTGGCTGAGGTGTGGCGCAGTGCTGGCTCTGCGGGAGGGGGTTGGGAGCTGCAGCACTCACCCATTCTTCCTTGCGAATCCTTGAATTCCTGTTGTTGAGCCTCAGTTCTCACTGAAGACCAGTCATCAACTGTTTAACTGTTCAATTATCAATAAACAGAAGTCTGTAGAAGGCCATAGTGGCCCTGTTCCAAGTGGTCCGCTGCTCCCGCAGCTCACCATGTTGTCTCTGCCTCCGCCACCATCTTGGATCGAGAATCTTTGTTATCTTGATGTTGAGCTTCCATCCATATAGGAGGCTGCAGTCCTTGACCTTCTGCCTGTAGTTTAATTTTTAAGGGTCCTTTGTGTCTCTAGTTAGGTTTGTTCCTAAGTATCTTGATTTGTGGTTGGACATTGTAAATGGTATTACTTTCTTATTTTCCTTTTTTGAGTTCTCTTTGTTACTGTAGTGGAAACCCACTGATTTTTTGATATTATATCCTGCCACTCAACTAAATTGGTCCACTAGCTCTAACAGTGTCTTTTTATTGTTGTTGAATCCTTGGAATTTTCTGTATACACAGTCATAGCATCTGCATATACCAACAATTTCACCACCTCTTTGCCAATCGGGATGTCTTGTATTTCCTTTTTATGTTGTATTGCCCTAGCAAGTGCTTCCAGTGCAGTATTGATGAGGAGTGGTGCCAGTGGGCATCCTTTTCTGGTCCCTGTTCACAAGGAAAATGCTTTTAGTCTTTGTCCATTGAGAATGATGTTGGTATTGGCTCTTGTGTTTGCATATATATTTTTCCACAATGTTGCGGAAATTCCCTTCTATTCCTATTTTGCTAAGTGTTTTAATCAGGAAGGAGTGCTGGATTTTGTCAAAGGCCATTTCTGCATTAATTGCTAGCTTCATGTGGTTCTTGTTATTTGTTTTGTTAATGTGATGGTATTTCTTATTTTGACTCATCCTTGCATAGCTGTTATGAATCCTACTTAGTCTTGATGAATTATTTTTTTGATGTGCTGTTGCATTCTATTGGCCAGGAGTTTGGTAAGGATTTTTACATTGATAGTCATGAGAGAAATTGGTCTGTTGTTTTCTTTTTTGGTAATATCTTTGCCTGGTTTTGGTAGCAGGGTTATGTTTGCTTCATAGGAACTGATTGAAGTCTTCTCTGTCTTATTTTCCCCCATCAGCAAAGATCTATATTTGTTCAAAATTTTTTTTTGAAAGTTCAGGATTGATACTTGTCATTTATAGCAAATTAGTTAAAAAACAATACTATTTTTCTTTTTATTTTGTTATTCTTACTGTCTTCTTATTTGCTTATGTTACACAGTTTTAATGTGCAAGACTTAATGATGTAGTTATATGACTGAGTACCTACTATTTTTGAATACTGGAAAAAAGAAAACAGAAAAGTTGCTTCCTCACTTTTCATACATGGAATAATAGTTGATCTTTTATACTTTGTTTCAAGGTCAGCGGAGAAGCATTATATGACTGGGGTTTACAAGGATACATAGTCCTGGAGGATTTGTGGAAGAACTTTCAAAAGGTGAGAAGCAGTTTTAAAAAATCTTCCATTTTATTTAAATATGTGGTTTTTCTAGGGTTTTGTAAAATACTTGCTAACTCAGTTGTTTGATTTTTTGTTTTTTTCAGTTATGCCTCTAATTCATGTTTTCTGGTGACCTTTCTTGAACAAATGATAGAACTTCTGAGCATTAGATCAGCAGTGAAGTGTGTTGTGTTATGCTGCTAAATGAATTTAAATGGAGTTTCCAGACTAAGACTAGGAAGAAAGGGCTGACATTCTGAAAAAAACTATGGGTCTCAATGGTTTGATTCACATCCAGTTGAATAAATGATCATAAAAGACATTCCACAGACAACAGACTTAGCTTGTAGCTTCTCTGTTGTATTCCTATCTGTTCAAAATGTAGTTTTCTAAAAGCTGGATTCAAAGAGAATACACTATAATTCCAGATAATTTAGACCCCTTTCATTTGTTATGAACGCATTTCTTTACCAGTATCTGTGCATTCACTCGTCTTCTTGGTCCATCTAATGAAAATGAGTCACGGTATGGTAGGCCCGGCTCCAGACCACCTTCTTTACACTGTCTGGTGGATTAACAGAACAGAAGGAAGATTGTATTTCATCTCTTCTAGTAGCCATGTAGCTAATTAAAACATTGCCCATGTTTGCTTTGACATTCTGTCTTCCTTAAAAGGAAGGATGAGTACAGAACAAAGCATCATGTCTCATCTGAGCACTCAATGAGTTTAGCCAGCCAAGGTAAAATTAGATTTCTTATGCTAACACATACTATTTATATTAGAAAATGAAGGCAGTTTATTTTGACTCCAGGTTATTTCAATTGAAGATACTCTTTTAAAAAAAAATCAGTGACTATCTCAAAATATAAAGCTAGAGTTTTGAAATAAAATGCAAAAGCTCTATATAGAATAAATAATAAACAACATTCCTCCGGATACTCCATGAACTTTGATAAATGTCAATAGTTACAGAAAGGCTTTAGGCCTTTTGTTCATAGGGTGGCTCTGAGTTGTGAAGGCAATCAACAAAAACACCTCCTTCTTATTTACATAAATAGTCTTCCAGTGTGATCTTAAGACCTATTTTTATATGGGTGGGTTCTAAAGGAATTAGTTTGTTGAGCCAGTGTGAAGGCCTATAGCAATATCAAGTGTCCTTTGGCAATCCTTTTTAAAAAATAAACACTCATAATTTTTTTTTTTTTGTCGATTTCTCTGACATTTTCTTTGGAAGCTTTCTTTCCTGTTTAAAAATTCCTTAACAAGTCCACATTCAATTTTATGTGGGAAAGGAAATAAATGTCAGGAAAACTAGACACTGCCCTAGAAAGAACCATGAAACGTGAGACTAGATCAGGTTCTCACTGAGTGTTCACCATAGTATGACTACAGACAGATTACACACAAAACGTATGGAAGGGAAGCCTCTCTCACTTAACAACAACTTTCTGTAACTGCTCTGAGAATTCAGTCCTACACAAAAGTAGCTGAGCTGTGATAGGATGTGTATTAAACAGGCCAACATTTTGTGGCAGTTTGAATGTGAGCTGTTAAAACTACTTAATTTCTTTGTGAGGCTTCTGGGAGTAGGATGGTAAAGATTTCTAATTAGCTTATAGATGGTTAGCATTTCTTAGTCTAGACTTTTGTGCACTTGCCTTCTATATAGAGTTACTGAGAATATAAAATGAGTGTCCTTCTGTTTGTATACTCTTAGAATGTAATTTATCTAACAACTTCCTGTTCATAATAGAAGATGTTGTCTGCAGATAGTCCTGGGGTCCTGAAAAATTCCGACCTGCCTTTTCATGTTATGTAAAGAGTGCTCCTTAGAAAAATGCATGGTGAGACTTTTTCTCATCCACTTTGAGGTACTCAGTATCAGGAGAGGCCACTTCTGGGAAAGAACACCATGCTTGGTAAAGTAGAAGATCACCAAAACAGAGGAAGGCCTTTAACAAGATGGGCTGATACAGTGACTACGATAGTAGGCTCAGGCACAGCAGAGATTGATGGGATGGCTTTGTTCCATTGTACACAGGTAGCCGTGAGACACAGCTGACTGGATGGCACTAAACAATAAATTTGCCCTCTCTTTGAAAGGTCTAAACCTTTACTCACAGCAAATCACAATCATCACAATCACTTTCATTTGCTGCACATGGAGTTTTTATCATTTTTATCGTTGAAAAGCCTGACCCTTTTCTTGCACTAGTCCATCCACTGTCATTGATCCAGTTGTAACTTATAGGGACCATATGGGACAGAGTAGAACTGTCCCAGAGGGTTTCCCGGGGTATAAAGCTTTAGGGAAGCAGACTGCCTTGTCTTTTTTCTTTGGAGTGGCCAGTGAGTTTAAACTATAAACCATTTGTTTAATAGGAACATGCTTTAACCACTGTGCTGTACAAGCATTCCCTAGAGAAGCAAAACCAGTGAAACTGAGAGAGAGAGAGAGGAATTCATTTCAAGGAAATGGCTCACATTCTTCTAGCGGCTACAAAGTCCCAAATCTGTAGGTCAGACTTAGGAGACAGATGCCTGGAGAAGCTGATGAGTCCAAGTTGTAAGCAGGCAAGGCAGGCTTAGAAGGCTGATGAGGACAAAGATTGTTTTTGATGAGCAAGGCCAAAGATGTCTGGCTTTGGAGGCTGAGGAGTCCTAAGTCAGCGAGTACAGAGAGCCACTGGTTCGAGTCTGGAGCCACAAGGCAAGTAACAGGATGGTATGTGTTGTTAAGTGTCATTGTGTTGACTAGACTCCTAGTGACCCTGTGAACAGCAGATCTGAACCTTGTTCTTCCTTTCCTGAGTCATCCTCCTGACCTCTGCCAAGCTCCAAATCATTGTGGTAGTCACTGTGTCAGCACATCTTGTGGGAGATCTTCCTCCCTTTCACTGACCACCTAGCTTTTCCAGCATGATGTCTCTCCATGAACTGGCTCTTCCCGGTAACACACCCGAAGTGTGTGAGCTGAAGTTTTACTATCCTCACCTCTAAGGAGCACTTTGGTTGTACTTCTTTCAAGACAGATTTGTTTGTTCTTCTGGAATTCCATGGTGTATTCAATACTCTTCTCCAACACCACAATTCAGAGGCATTAATTCTTCTTCAGTCTTCCTTATTCATTGTCCAACTTTCAGATACTTAGCAAGCATCTAAAAAGACCATGGCTTGAATATGGTGCACCTTAGTCTTTAAACTTACTTCTTTGATCTTTGGAGAGGTCCTCGTTAGCAGATTTCTCCAGTGCAGTACACCTTTTGCTTTCGTTACTGCTGCTACAATGGGTATTGGTTATGGGTCCTAGTAAAATGAAATTGTTGACAACTTCAGTCTTTCTCCATCGTGATGTTCCCAACCCATCTTGAACAGTATAGTCTTTGATCTTCTGCAGCAAGAGTTTCAAGTCTTCTTGTGGTCTACATCTGCAAGATGTAGATGCAACAAAGCGTTCTCTAGCTTTTTAGCCAGAGTCCAACAATATATGCCCACACTCCTGAAGTCTTCCCTTATCCAGATAAGCTGAACATATCTTTATAGAACTGCCTCATTAACGGAAGTTCAAGTTTATAACGCATAAATTAGTTACATAATACTGAGAATCATGGCCACATTGGCACACAATACTAACCATCACAGTAACCATTTTCTTCTCCACCAATTTCTGGACCCAATCTGAGAAATAAAATTAAGAAGTAAAAAGCGTAGTACAATAAACCATCACGAACTCTAAACAGACCTCTGGCATTTTGCTATTCTGCCACCTCCCTTCTTTCTTTGGGGAATTAAATAGAAAGATTTCAACTGAGTCAAAATCATTTAAGAGAAATTACTTGCTTTAGCCTAAATTAACTCTTCGTTGGAATAGTGAAGAAAAGTGTGTCCAGAAATATTATCATCAGTGTGTGGTCTACAACAATGTAGTGAATGTCCATCTTTAAAAACAGGTAGTCACTACACCTTCACAGTTCTCTATGTTCCCCTCCTACCTCTCAAAGGCAGTGGGTCTCTGGAATTTTGGTTTTCCATTCCCTTGCTTTCCTTGAAACTTTTTTCTTTTAGTTTAACTACAGATATTCATGTTTCAAAGTGCTGTGATTGAGCTTGCCAGGTTTGTTTGCCTTTGTAATATAAATAAATGTAAAAAGATAAAATACATAGTTTCTTAAAAAATGGAGTCTTAAAACATATATTGTGTTCTTTGAGTACGTGTATTATTCTGCAGCTTGTTTTGTTTCCTTAACATTATGTTTGTGGTTGCAGGTATTGATGTTGAATATTTCTTTGTGGGAAAATACCCACACTATTGAATAGTTGTGTGGTTTTCCAGAATATTGCTGTTTAAACTTAGCTGTTAACATTTTTGTACCTGCATCATGGTTTATGAAGTTTCTCAAAGCTGAAATTCCTGCTTCATAGGATCTGTATCTTGTTAGTTTTACTAGATGATGCCTAGGAGCTTTCCAACGTGGTGGTTTCAATTTATTCTGAGGATAAAACTTGTTGTTGTTAGGCTTTCCCATTTTTGTCAGTCTGGTGGCTTTATAAAATAGCTTTCATGGGGCAGTGAGAGAGCATGGGGACGGAAAGCTGATTTTTCTCTTTATTTTAATTTTTTAAACAATTCCAAATTACCCAACAGTTGCAGGAGTAAAGCAGTGAATATACCATTCACTGGGTGCACAAATTAATGTTTTTGCTACCTTTGTTCTATTCCTCACTTTACACAAGTGTGCTTGAACATGTATTTTTTTTCTGAACCATCTGAGAACTAGTTGCAGATATCATTGTACTTGTGATCCATATCTAAGTCAGTATGTATTTCCTAAGAACAAAGACATTTTCTTATGTATTCACTATACCACTATCATGCTCAAGAAAGTCATCATTTTTACATGTTGTTGTTATGTGCCATCGAGTCGCCTGTGACTCATAGCTACCCTGTGTACAAGAGCCCTAAACCATGCTCTATCCCTTGCCAATCTTATTGTCTCTGACACACCTATCCCCATTACCAAAGTGACTGACTGAATTCATCTTATCAAGGGTCTTCCTCTCCTGTGCTGTCCCACCTCCCTCTCAAGTATGACATCCCTCTCCAAGGACCGATCCTGCCTTGCAACATGTCTAAAGTATGTCAGACAAAGCTTCAGAATCCTTGCCTCCAAGGAGCAGCCTGTCTTCACCCTCTCCAGGACGAATTTGTTTGTTCTATTAGCAGTCCATGGTTTATTTAGTACTCCAACACCACTACTCAAAGGCATCAATTCTTCTTTCATCCCTAGTGACTGTCCAGCTCTCTGATGCATAGCAAGTGATTGCAAAGACCATGGCCTGTATCAGGTGCACCTTAGTCTCCAGACTTACTTCATTGCTCTTCAGTACTCTGGAGAGGTCTCTGACAGCAGACTTTCACAGTGCAATTTGTCCTTTAATTTCCTGGCTGCTGGTACCAAGATCAAGAGTGTTGATTATAGAGCCAAGCAAACTGAAGCTGTGAACAATCTCAATCTCTTCATCATCTATTATGATGTTGCCAGTCGGCCCAGTGGTGAGAATCTTTGTTTTTTTGATGTTGAGCTTCAATCCATATTGAAGGCTGCAGTCCTTGACCTTATGCAGCAAGTGCATCAGATTCTCCTCAGTTTCAGCAAGCAGGGTTGTGTCATCTGCATAATGCAGATTGTTGATGGGTCTACCTCTAATCCAGATGCCACACTTCTCATAGAGCCCAGCCTCCCATTCTGTTCTGCATATAGAAAAGATATGTAGATAGGACACATCCTTGATGCACACACTTCCAAATTTTGAACCATGCAGTGTTTCCTTGCTCTGTTCTGACGACCACTTCCTGGTCCAAGTATAGGTTTCCCATAAACACAATCAAGTGTTCTGGGATTCCCGTTCTTCTCAGAGGCAGCCACAGTTTGTTGTGATCCATACAGTCAAAATCCTTTGTATAGTCAATGAAACACAGATAGACATTCCTCTGGTACGCTCTGCTTTCAGCCAAGATCCATCTAACATTAGCTACAATATCCCTAGTACCACGACCCCTTCTAAACCCAGCCTGGACTTCCGGCAGTTCTCTGCTGATGTGCTGTTCTAATCGTTTTTGGATAATCTTCAGCAGAATCTTGCTTGCATGTGAAATCAATGACACTGTTCTGTAGTTTCCACACTCTGTTGGGTCACCTTTCTTTGGAATGGGAACAAATATAGATCTCTTCCAGTCAGTTGGCCAGGTGGTTGTTCTCCAGATTTCTTGGCACAACTTTTTACATGAGTATTACAAAATATACATTCCACATTCAAATTTTACCAGTTGCTCTAATAATGTGCTTTCCTTAAATAATTTTTAAAATTTTTATAGGTAAGTCAGTTTTTATCAGGCACACATCCTTATCGTAATCCTAATCATTATCATCCTCATCATAATCATGATCCACAACAATAGAACTTTGCCAACCACCAAGAAGCCCCGCCTAGCCCATCTCTACCTCTGTCCTTTCTTCCTTCCTTTAAAAAGAATTGGTATCTTGAATTTCACCATAATCACTTCCTCCTCATCTTTATGGTTGTATCATCCAAATATTTATCCCTGTCACTTTATTTTAGTCTTGCACACTATTTTGCAATTTCATATGCTCTTTAAGTCTCTTTTAGTCCTGAGTCAGAGTCCTGGTTGTGCAATTGTTAAGTGCTTGGCTGCTAACTGAAAAATGAGTTGTTCACACCCACCCAGTAGCCATTCTTGAGTTGTGATAATCTTAAAGTCATCAAAATCCACCACTCTTTTTAAATTTTATTTTATTAATTTTAATGAACATTAACAGAGATTTTGGATTTACATTCACTCATAAAATCCACAACTCTTAAGGATTTTTTTCTCCCCGCCCTGAACAATGAAGATATATCGAATGTTTTCACTTATATATTCAGTTCTAATACCAAGTACCCAGGCAGCATATATCTGACTCCAGCTGCTCAGTTACGTCAGATCTCACAACTTAAAAGCCAATGCAATCCATCAAACTGCCAGATGGGCATTCAGCAGCCAAGAGTAAGTCCACAAAGCACCCTTACTTCTGGCTTACAGGCTATAAATTAGGTGTTTGCCTCAATGCCTTCTGGACACCAGCAACAAATTTGGGAGTTCCCCCATGGCTTCCTCACTTGTATTTCCTTTGGATTTGTACTTCCTTTGGATTTGATAACGGTGTTGCAGGGGAACACAGAACTCCTGGAAAGTGCTATTGTGACAAGTATTAACTTTGCTCTACAGAAAAATGAGCAGATACAAATGAAGAGACTCATAGGAAAAGGTCTGGGAGACTTCCCAGTGTGGAGCTTCCATGTCCCATGCATTATACTTCTGTGCCCATCAGTTTACCAATCACCTTATGTATCAAGAGTTTTCATTACTCAGGTCAGGCCAACCCTACCCATTAGCACAAATCCCTAGGAGCAGTTTAGAGGCGTAAATAACAAACTCAAATAAAAAAAAAACTCAGACTCCTTGCCAATGAGTCAGAACCAATTCAGCTAATGTTCCAGTGGGTTCTCACAGGGTTAGGGTTAGGGTTAGGGTTAGGGAAGAAATTGCCCATTTTTCTCCCGAGGAGCCACTGGTAGATTCAAACCACCGGAGAGGCATTACCTTTGGGTTTGCAGTGCAACTCTCTATGGACTATGCCACCAGAGCTCCCTCCTTCTAGATAACATGTTGTGGTTAGGTGCCAGTGAGTCGAGTAAGGGCTCTTAGCAACCGTATGAACAACAGATCTGAACCCTGTCCTATCCTATGCCATCCTCACCATCTCGGACAGACTTGAATCAGTTGCTGCAGCCACTGTGTCAATATACCTGGTTGAGAGTCTTCCTGGATAACGTAGGCATTTTCAATTAATTTTTAGTAAATTATGGAGGTGTAGATTTCGCTCTTAAGAATTGTGGGCAAAGGTTAAATTACTTTAGGTAGAATAAATAAATCTTTAACCTATAAATCTACAGGTTCCTCTTCTACCCTTTGATTTTCTTTACGCTTTATCTGTTTAAAAATCTAGCACTTTACCCTGTACCATTTCTAGCAGTTGGGTTTTGCTGACTGTACACTCATGGTGCAGCTTAACATGTTCCTCTGTATCTCCTGCAGATTGGACCTAGTTCCAGAGGCTGCCTAATTAGGCTCATGTTTATCCTTTGACAAGACTATACACGGTAGTGCATTCTTTTATTAGAAGGCACATGAGAGTGGTTTTCAGTATTTGTGTTTTGGTGTTAACAGCCCTTAATGCACAATGCTGAGACTCATTAATCCACTGGGATTGAGGAAAAAATTGTATTTTTATCATTTTCTTTTCATGTATAACTGAAATGATTTATTAAAGAATTACACTTCTCATTTACTGTTTATCCAGTTAGTTACTGTAGGAACATCACTGGCATGGTCTTGATGCAAAGAATCATTAACAGTATCAATAGCCTAAGGATGATTTCTGTGAGGCAGAGGTCGGATATGCCTCCACCTTTTTGCTAGTTTTGTTATCAACTATTCCTCCCATGATATTCTCTAGTTTGCTGGATTTAATAATTTTTGCAATAAAAGCCACATAGAACTCACAAACTATTCTCAAAATTGGAAGTAACAGTTTGTAATTGAGGTTGAGAAATGCTTGTGATACAATTATTTCATGAGAACAGTCTCTTTCCATCCAAGTCCACAGGCAAGCCTTCCTGTCACCCTTGGCCTCTCACCCTGGTCTTACCTCACTCTGGCAAGTGTTAAAAAGTTCTTTTGCCTTTGCTGATAAGTATCAAGAAGCACCTAACTTCACCTCAACCTGAAGTCACTCAGCATCAAGAACACAAAACTCTTCACTACTGGGACAATAGGCAACATCATGGGAAATGGAGAAAAATTGATGTTGTTAATGACTTCATCAGCACCCTTGGTACAAGCCATCAAGAAACCAAAAGACATATCACACTTGGAAAAATCTGTTGTTAGGGCCCTCTCAAAACTACTGAAGAGCAGTGATATAAATTTAGGGACTAAGGTGGGCCTGATCAAGCCATACCGTTGTTAATTGCTTACTGTGTAGCTGAAAGTTGGACAGTGAATAATGATGACAGAAGAACTGATGTCTTTGAATTGTGGTATCGAAGGAGAGTACAGAATGGACTGCCAAAATAACAAACAATTCTGTCTTAGAAGAAGTCCAACCAGGGTGTTCCTTGGAGGCAAACATGGAGAAGATTTGTCTCAAATGCTTTGGGCATGTTGTCAGGAGGAGTCAGTACTTGTTAG